ATAGCTATAAAATCCTTCATGGAAGTTCATTTGGAGGAACTTTCATACCTGACCAATTCACTACCCTAACTTGTCAAAAATAAGTTTGTATGCAAGAGAACAAAGGGAATGCTGGAAGCCAAACCAATTCCTTCATAATATGCCTCCTCAGCAGGGAGTGAAGAGAATGTAGGGGGGGAGGCAGTGTAAATGAAGCCTGTTATAATTTTTATATATAAATGTATGTACCTCCAAAGATTCGCTAAAAAATAAGCATACTTGATGTAAAAATGCCCCAAATTTAATAAAAACAAAATTTTCTCGGCAAAATCTGTTGTTTATTATTATTAGAGGAAAGACAAAAGTGTTGTTTTTTTAAGTTATATTTTTTAAATCCTTTTCAGAATCTTCAAAATTTTGCTTAAAAATTTTATTTTTCTTTCATCAGCGGTTGACCAAAAATTAGTATGTGAAATTTTCAGGAATTATTAAAAACGAATGAAGTTATTTTAGAAAACTTTCTTTCTTTTAGAAAATATGGGCATTTTTTTCTAGCTTCTGATACACCCTTCCTTGTTTAATTTTATGAAATTTCCAGAAATTCTTTTTTGTAGGACGTAAAGTTTATTTTAGTTATAAGCACAAGTCCTTGGAGAATTTTTTGTGAAACAGGATCCCAGTTACAGAAAATCTGCTCTGAATGGTAAAAAAGATATATGCAATAAAACTAAGATTATTTAATTACAAAACCTTTTGTTTTTTGAATAAGATATATTATGGACACTTGTCTTAAGAATAATTTTTTCCGATGAATAATGAATTTTTACAATAATTGTTTTCATTTTTTTATGTTAATTAGATTAGTTTATAAAGTTTAAATCTTTTAGAATTCTGTATTAATTTATGTCGGTTAGATGATATTGTTTTTAAGTAAAACTATATTTACTAATCATAAATGGAAAAATCTTACTACAATTAGGCGATCCTCAATTTTTAATTTGTATTTTTATGTGTGCATAAAGATGCCGATTTTTGTAAATGCAGAAGTCCATATAACATATTACAATGAAATACAAGCGAGAACTATATTACATTTAAAGCCAAAGTGCCTAAAATTCAATAAAACATTAGATTACTTAAAATATTTTCCAATTTTTTAAGGTTAATGTGTAGTTAGCATTTATATAAAAAGGCGTTCACATTATATTCGTCAAATATTTTTCAGATATTTCCCCGTAGAGAAGATTCCCAAGCAGAAGTCTATCGAGATAGTTGTCAAAACCTCATAAATTCACTCACGATATTTTAAACTAAAAGTAAGTTATATTTGTTTCAAATCAGATTAATTAAACTTTAAATCAGGTAATCTCTCTCAAATAGAATTTCAGAAAAGTATATTTGATTTTTGAAAGATTTTTAATAAAAAAAATTACTATATGCTGATAGATTTGTAAATATGGCTAAAATCTTAGCCACATAAAAAAAATAATTCGAAGCAATTTAAATTCGTTTTGAAATACAGAAAAGTATTTTGCTTATTGGGAATATTAAATTTAATCTATTAACTTAAAATTAAAATAAAAGCTTCAAGAAAGATTTTTCATTTTTTTAAATTCATTTAAACCTTAGGTATCGTTTTTCTTTGGAGTTACATATATAGATGCAATTTTTTGACCCTGTCTTTAAAAGAACTGAGATGCATAAATCCATTTGTGATAAGTTATATATATATATATATATATATATATATATATATATATATATATAAGGTTATAGTTGTTCCAACGAGAAAAATGTATATTTTAAAAAGAGAGAAACCGCAAACGTTTTTGATTATAACATTATAACCAAAAACGTTTACGGTTTCTCTCTTTTTAATATATATATATATATATATATATATATATATATATATATATATATATGAGTGAGAGAAAGAGACAGATGAAACGATTATTGATTTTCAATATAAGCATTCACGACTGTTAGTCACATCGTTCAAAGATTTAATTACCACCATTACCGAAAGTATGAAAAACTCAAAGCTGATTACTTTACTTGGTCATTTTTCTCATTTGAATGACTTTTATAGCAGTTTTTTTTCTTCTGGAATTGAAAACTAAATACTAAGTGGGAGATAAATCTGGTCTTTTTGGCCTCAGTGCTAGTGGGCTGAGCTCTATCATTTGCCTAAAATCCTTTACTATCATCTATTTTCATAATATATGAAATCTCAACATCAGCTTCCGATACTTCTGAATAAGTCTAACAGGCAGAAAACAAGTAAGTCTAGGGATCTCATTCTGGAAGAAAAATAGAAAAGCATAATAAAAAAATGTGTATTTCAAACCAAAACAATGCTTTCAATATAAAAAAAAAATTCATTTTTATGATAGAATCAGATAAAATAATATATAATGAGGAATCTTTAAACCTTAACATTTGATTTAGTTTTACAGTCCTGGTCACTTTTTGTTGTAGAGTAGTTTCACAGTGGAGGCTTGTATTTCACTAAGTCGGTCCTAAAATAGATTCGACGTACAAAACGTTAGGAACTTGATATAATAGGTAATGACACAGAGAAATCTAGTGGTGGTCGCTGATACTTCTAGTATCCGACCAACGGTCGTCCAACATCGACTGACTGACCAACCCACTGAGCGACTCCTACTACTCCTACTTATTATAGGTGGGAGAGTCTATTAACTATAGAATAGGCGTGTTCCACTATAACACTTTTAACATCTAATTTAGCCCCACCCCTGACTTTTTATTTTGTGGCGCTGTGCCTGCATAATTAATTTTTTCTGTCCTCTTAGGAAAGTCAGTGCGTGCAAAGGGGTAAATTTGTAACGGTCTCCTGTTCAAAGGATTCGGGATAATATTTAGACAAGATTTATTATTTCATGATTTTTACATAATCAAAGGACAAAACTAAACTTTCTCAATTCAGTAATCTATCTCTTTTTTCTCTACCGTTCCACTTCCTCTCAAGACTTGTGTACTCGATAGCATTTCCGATAATATAGACAAAGCCATCTTTCTACATCCGTTTGCAAATATATTCGTGCTCGGTGACTTAAATACTCTGTAACTGACCTCCCTGACATCCAAACTCTTAACTTTTCAATCCCTCACGCAAGTGGTTGACTTTCCTACACATTTCCCCGGTTAACCCGGACGATAACCCTTCTCGATTTCTGTTTTGCCTCATCCCTGATACTTGTCGCGCTACGCAGCTCTGCCCTCTTGGCAACTCTGATCACGCCGTAGTGTATGTTAACTCCTCCTAATCCACCTCCAGCCATAAAACTCTTACTAACAGAATATTTTTCTGTTATCAACGCGCAGACTGGGACTTGTTCCGTGATTTCTTTGACGACGTCCATTAGGATGTGGTTTTTAATCATCCCGTACAAAAATGTGCGTCTGAGTTTCTCCTCCCGAATAAAAGCCGGTATCGAGGCTTTCATCCCAGCAAGAAAATACCAAGTTAAATTTCCTTGGTTCTCACCTGTTAGCTCTGCCGCTATAGCCCATAGGAATTACTTCTTCCGTCTGTACCACAGTGACATGTCTGATTGTGACATACATCTCTTTGTCTCTGCTCGTAATGAATTCAAGTGTAACGTCAATGAAGCAAAGTTACTGATTGCTGATAGAATGAAACAACCTATTGCATCTCGCAAGTTTGGTTCTAAAGATTATTGGCGGCTCTGCAAGAACTACAGCAAATCCTCAACTCCTCCCCTATTCAATCAATTCGAAGTCCTAACATCCACAGCTAATAAGGCTGAATGCTATGCTCTGAAATTCTCATCCAACTCAACACTCGACTCATCCGGGGTACCCACATCTGAATTTCCCAATAGAACTGAGGCTATAGCGTGTGAGATGTGCATAACCCCGTCGATGGTATTAGACATCATCTCTAAATCAGACTCTCATAAAGCAAGTGGTGATGAATAAATACCGACCGTAGTCCTAAAGAAATGTGTCCCTAAGTTGACTCCAGTTCTCTCCAAAGTCTAAAACTATTGTTTCACCGGTTCTTTATTTCCAGCCTGTTGGAAGTCCTCCTCCTCTTTTTTCGTCCCTGTCTTTAAGAAATCTGGAGACTCTTTTGACCCATCTAACTACCGTCCTATCAATATCCTACCGCTCTTTGGCAAAGTCTTCGAGGCTTTAATCAATGCCGAAGGAGTTAAAAATTTTCACCTCCCACGATCTGCTTTCTGACAAACAATATTCTTTCCGCTTTGCCCAGTCTACCGTTGATATGCTTACGGCCATAACTGAATATGTATACCAAGCTCTTGATAATAAGTTATTTTTAGAATGATGGAATTTCAGACTTTTATTTTCATTATTTTTTTTACAATGAAATATGATCATCATGAATCATAACATGCATATCAATCTATTTTATTTACTTTGTTACACGTTTATATAAAAGCAAAAATATAAAATATCACCTTGTTAAAATGTATTCCCTTTTCTTATACTCGTCATTTAAATGAGTGTAAATTTTGATTGTCGCTTTATTTAGTTCTGGTTCGCGTAATTAGTTTTTCGAGCCGGTTGCTGAAAATTTTGGTTGTCGCTTTATTTTAAATGTGTGCAAATTTTGGTTGTTGCTTACTAGCAGCAGAGACGCAATACTCCTTTTCGTTTAATACTCTTGACGAAATAAGAAATAAACAGAAAACACGAATAACAGAAAAGAAACGGGAGCTAACAGTAACAGGAATGCAACAAAAAGTTAAAGTAACAAAACAGGAATGAAAAATAAAGCTAATAAGAAAGAAACGAATGATAAAAGAACAAGAAAAAAAGGGAAGGAAGAAAAACGAAAGGTAAGAATATTAAAACAAGTAACAAACGTTAAGAATGTTAAAAAAAGAAAACGAAAAACAATAGAAGCAAGTAAACAACAAACATGAATAATCAGAAAAGCTACAAATAAGAGTTACAAAAAAAATGGAGGACAAAAGTGAGAAAATACAACGAAAATCGAGAGTTCAGAACATTGGGAGGAAAGAAAGAAGTAACAAGAAACACGAACGTAACAATAAAGGAAAGAAAGAATTTTCAAAAGAAGAAACTGAAGACACAAGTAACGTGAACGAAACAGAATAATAAAAAGCTGAACGAAGGGCGATGAATAGGCAACAAAATACAAGAATAACGAGGGAAACGTCAAATAAGAAACAAATGGAAGAAAAACAAGTGTTTACAAGAAAGATAAACAAGAAATGCGAAGGAGAAGAGTAACGAATAAGAACAGGAAGACATGAGTAACAACATGACAACGGAAAAGAAACAAGAGTAACAGTCAACGAATGTCAAATATACGAGGCAAGGAAAAATTAGTATAACAGAAAATCAAGAGAATACAAGTATGACAAGGCAACGAAAAACGAGTATAACAGGAAAGGAACGAAATACAAGTATGACAAGAAGGCAAGGAAAAACGAGTATAATAGGAAATCAAGGGAATACAATTATGACAAGAAGGCAAGGAAAAACGGGTATAACAAGGGAATACAAGTATGGCAAGAAGTCAAGGGAAAAGTGTATAACAGGAAAGCAAAAGAATAAAAGTGTGACAAGAAGGCAAGGAAAAACGGGTATAACAATAAGGGAATACAAGTATGACAAGAAGGCGAGGAAAAACGAGTATAACAGGAAAGCAAAGTAATACAAGTATGACAAGAAAGCAAGAACAGGGAGACACGAGTAACAATGTGACAACAGAAAAGAAACAAAAGTAACAGAAAGTCAACGAATATCAAATATACAACGAAGGCAAGGAAAAACGAGTGTAACAGGAAAGGAAGGCAATACAAGTATGACAAGAAGGCAACGACAAAACGAATAGAACAGGAAAGGAAGGCAATACAAGTATGACAAGAAGGCAACGACAAAACGAATAGAACAGGAAAGGAAGGCAATACAAGTATGACAAGAAGGCAACGACAAAACGAATAGAACAGGAAAGGAAGGCAATACAAGTATGACAAGAAGGCAACGACAAAACGAATAGAACAGGAAAGGAAGGCAATACAAGTATGACAAGAAGGCAACGACAAAACGAATAGAACAGGAAAGGAAGGCAATACAAGTATGACAAGAAGGCAACGACAAAACGAATAGAACAGGAAAGGAAGGCAATACAAGTATGACAAGAAGGCAACGACAAAACGAATAGAACAGGAAAGGAAGGCAATACAAGTATGACAAGAAGGCAACGACAAAACGAATAGAACAGGAAAGGAAGGCAATACAAGTATGACAAGAAGGCAACGACAAAACGAATAGAACAGGAAAGGAAGGCAATACAAGTATGACAAGAAGGCAACAAAAAATGTAAAAAATGAAGGAACGAAAGTCAACGATATTAAGAATACACATAATATTAAGAGTTAAAAGAAGGCGACAAAAGTAGAGAGTAAGAAAGCAAGAAAATAAAGGAAGACGTGCGAGACAAGAATGAAAGACAAGAGGAACAAGAAAAACTACCAATTATAGTCACAATAAAGAAATAAGGGGCATTCGTATGAAGAAAAAAATGAAGGAAGAACAAAGTAAAAAAATTCCAAAGAACAATAAAATCAGGAGTAATAAGGTTGGTTGGTTGATTTTGTTTAGTGGCATATCAACACCTACATGGGTTATTTAATGCCGAAATCTAAATATTTTGAACACAATTTTATGGCTTCAACTAAATATATTTTGAACGCAATTGTATGTATTCAACTACAGATAAAACGTATTGTTGGTCATTTTGCAATGAAATATATTGCTGGTCATTTTATTACAAATATAGTGTTTTTTTGTTTTTGTTTGGGGCTCCACTACTTTCCCATAACTGGGAACCTAACAAGTGCTACCACTGCGGGTCAGTGTGGACCTAGGAACAATAGAAATTAAGAGGTCACCATCAGAGGCCTTGCTGCTGGATGTAGTTTATCGTCATAACCAGGACTGAACAAGAAAAAAAAAACGAACAATCAGAATAACTAGAAAGAAAAGGAAGTCATCAAAGCAGCGGAAGTAACAAAATGGCAACGGAAATAAATGTGGCAAAAAAGATGTAAGTGTAACAAAGAAAACAACGAAACTGTAACAAGAAAGATGAAGCAAAACATTAAGAAAGTAACAGAAGAGTCGTGTGACATGAAAGTGACAGAAGACAAGTTTGGCATGAAATGACGGAAGTGTGACAAGGAAGTGACAAGGAAGACAAATGTAAGAGGAAAATGACGAATGACATATGAGACATTAAAGACGGAAGACAAATGTGACATGAAAGTGACGAAAGACACGCTTGACATGAAAATGACGACAGACAAGTTTGACAAGAAATTGACGGAAGCCAAGTTTGACAAGAAAGTGACAGAAGAGGAGCGTGACATGAAAGTGACGAAAGACAAGTGTGACATGAAAGTGATGGAAGAAATGTTTAACAAGAAAGTAACGGAAGCCAAGTTTGACAAGAAAGTGACGGAAGCCAAATTTGACAAGGAAGTGACGGAAGCCAAGTTTGACATGAAAGTCACAGAAGACAAGCGTGACATGAAAGTGAAGGAAGAAGAAGAAAACGGAAAAGGAATAGAAGAAGAAGAATAAGGAAGACAAATGTAAAGAGAAAGAAACGGAATAAAGGACTGACAAGAAACAGATCACAAGATTAACAAATCAAGTCATTTAAATATATGTAAATTCATATTTTTAAAGTCCATGTTGAGACCGTTTAAACTAAACTTACCTTAAATCAAATCTTTTGGTAGTGTAGTATTTTATCTGATTCTCCTTGTTGTAGACTAATAAAAAATAAAGTTTGGTAACATTTTTAAAGATTTTTTGTCTTATTAGCCATGTAGGAACATATATAGAAATCATGGTGACTGATACAGCACGGAAACTTGTTGAGTGGAAAATTGGTTGTAGTGCTGATTATTAAGATTCTAGATGTCTTTTACTCGCTCGCAAAGATAATAGACTTTGGAGTCAAAAAAAAAAAAAATGAAAAACCTATGTCGGCAAAGAAATCCGCGTGGGACTGGCGTCAATTATCAAATACCTTCACTAGTTGGAATTCTGCATTCCTTTCACATCTAATTTCAAAAGAATGAAATTTATTAAATAACAATGCCATCCAATCAGCGTCTCTGTGGATGAATGTCACTCACATGGTGTCGTCTTCAATCGGATCTCATGGTTAGAGTTCACTAGGTTTATTTTAAATTCTAACTTGGAAAATAATGCGACTGTTACTAAGGTGGCTTTATTTAATAACCAGAACCAGTTTGATTTACATTTTACTTCTTGCTACTGGGGATTCAGGTGTCGGGGCGGGGGTTATATGATAAAATATCTTAACTGTAAATGGTAGGCTTAACGCATATATAAAATAGTATGGCAACTATCAATTCAAATCTAGCAGTTGTAGTATTAATATCTCTTTCAAAAGTATATAAGGTTTTATTTTAATGCCAATTTATGTTAAGTTACATACTATATGTTCTTTTTTAATAATTTCACTCCAACCAAGGCAATGAAGCCCCTAAGACACAAGGAGTTACTGAGTGTGTCAGAATATGAGAAAAAAAGAGAAGATTATTAAGGAGCGATAACAATAAAAGAAAAGGAATTAAGAAGACAGTAGCTAACGATTTACTTCGCGTATACATTTTTGAAGATCAAAGTTCGCACGAAGGCAAGAAGTCTGAAAAAATAAAATTGTGAGAGGAGAAACTGTTAGCCTAAAACTTCCAGTTATATCTAGCCATTTCAATTGTAACATGATGACGCCTTGCCACCAATCTAGTAGTACACTTAAATTCATAAAGCCTAGGTACAGTAGAAAAAAAACTCATCAGAACGACTACCTTGAATATATCTATAGAAAAAGTACAGGAAAGCTACGTTACGGCAGTGGGAAAAATACCAAGATGCCAGGTCAGGACCAATAAAATTGCAGCTTCTTTGTAATCTATTAAGAATCTCTAAATAGATTGTAGTAGCACCAGACCAAATGTGACAACAATATCCAATGCACGGACAAATAGATTTAAAAATGTGTTAGGTAGATTCTGACCAGAAAAATTGTCTAGCACCACCTTGGGAACCAGCTTTCCTAGCAGTAGTCCAAGCAATTGATTCAATATAATCTTTCCACTTCATGTCAGTGGAAAACGTCAGCCCGAGAACTCACAAGGAGTCCCTCTCCTGGAGGTTAGCATCAGCCATGCTGATGGAAAACAAAAAGTAGTAGTTGTGTTTTGGACGCGTTAAAAAGAACAAGCCATTTCTTGCCCCAGTTAACAAATAATTTGTTATAATGGAACACACCTATTCTATAGTTAATAGACTTTCCCACCTATAATAAGTAGGAGTAGTAGTAGCAGTCGGCAGGGAGTTGGTCAGTCAGTCGATGTCGGACGACCGTTAGTCGGATATTAAAGTATCAGCCACCACAACTAGATTGCTGCGTCATTACCTATTATATCAAGTTCCTAACGTTTTGTACGTCGAACCTATTTTAGGACCGACTTAGTACAAATACAAGCCTCCACTGTGAAACCCCTACATAACTTAATTGTAGGTTACTTTTGAGCTCAGCTGCCAGTTTGACCTTACCATCGAACTTAAACTGGAGTTAATCGTTGTGTCATCAGCATAGATACCGGGTTGGAACTGATGACATCAAGAATGTTGTTGATGAACATTAAAAACAACGTAAATCCAAAGATAGAGTTCTGAGGAACACCTGCATTAATACAAAAATATCTAGAAGAGTGACTATTTAAGACAACTGATGAGATGGTATATAAAATCCACAAGCAGGTAGCGTAATCGGTAGGAATAGTGGTAATGGCAAGACGAATTCAAGTTCCATCCTAGTCTGTTACGTTTACTTTGGGCTAGGACCTTAGGGAAAGCATGAATCCATTTCCCCCTCCAACGATGAGTTAAACACGAGAATAAACTGAGCTCTCTAATTTTGGGTAGCAGCTTGTCTAGAAGAACAACTTTAAATTCAGAACCGCAGAAAAGACAACGGAAAATTAATCCACTATTTTACCCAAGAGCTTATGACAATTCCCAGATAATAAAGGGAAGTAATCAGAGGAGAGTTATGTTATATGTCCTGAAAGAGTGTAGCATTTTAAAAAAATGATCTGCAGTCCAGTTCTACAGAGAATATTAAGAAAAATTATTGGATGGTACATCGAATATTACTAGAACTTTATCCTGATTAACAATAGCCCAATTAAAAAAAAAAAATCTTTTCCCGCAATTATTAGAAATTGATGAAACAATGACAGCAAAATGATAAAATTCCAAATCTAAATTGTTTGTTCATTTTAACCCTTTGCCTGCCCAGGACATTTTCGTGTGTACAACCCAAACTATCCCGTGTATTACAAATGATGCACAGGACAGGCAAAGGGTTGAAATACTACATTTATTAGAAAATATATACAATTTAAATACAGAATGAGTCGTAAAATGACTTCAGAGACATACATTTTAACTTATACTCTTTTCCTGTTAACCAGGAGTTATTGCCGGACCGAAAGGGAAATTAGTTCTCGCTAATATTTTTGTGAGAGAGGAAATGAGTCTTTTATGTCATTAAATATAGTAAGACCAAATTTGAGAGAAAAACGCTTCGATCTTAATTTTTTATAACTTTAAAATATGACGCTGAGCTAATATGACATTCAGCGAATTGAGTTAATATGATGTTGGAAGAATTGAGCTAATATGATATTCAGCGAATTGAGCTAATATGATATTCAGCGAATTGAGCTAATATGATGTTGAACGAATTTAGCTAATATAACGTTCAACGAATTGAGCTAATATGATATTCAGCGAATTGAGATAATATAACATTCAACGAATTGAGCTAATATAATGTTGAACGAATTGAGCTAATATGACGTTCAGCGAATTGAGATAATATGATATTTAGCGAATTGAGCCTAACGTGATGTTTTAAACTGACGAATATGACGTTTCAACGAATTGGACTGATATGACGTTCAATGAATTGAGTTAATATGATATTCAACGAATAGAGCGAATATCGAAAACTTTATGTAATGTGGTTACCAAGTCGTTTACGGTCGCTTATAGCGCGAAGTATGTTTCATGGGAAAAAAGTCATATTTGAAAGCTGATCAAAGTGATTCACGAAAACGTGGAAATACTTAACATATTTCTTGAACACTTATCCTTGCCTACCTTCTCCCTTTCTGTACTTCTCTATATTCTCCCTTCACTCTCTTTATTTTCCTTCTTTTATCTCTCCATTTCATTTACTGTATCCTTTCTTCTGGCTCTATCTATCTCCTTTCTTTTTTCTCTATCTTTCTCTTCCTTCTCCTTTCTTGTATTTCCTTCATTCGCTCTATCTTTTCTTCTTTCTCTTCTGCTTATTTTTCCCAGTTTCTTTTTGTCTGTCTGTTCTTTTTCTCTTTTATTCTCTCACTTTCCTTTCCTATATCATTTAGTCTTTCTCAGTTTCTTTCTTTCCCTACCTCCCCCCTTCTCTCTCTCTCTCTCTTTTCTTCATCCTCGCACATTTTTTTTGTCTTTCCTGTCTTCTTGATGTTGCCAATGTTTTAAATTAATCGTGAATCTCTCCTTTACTTTTCTTTCTCCATTTCATTTCCTCTCCCTTTTCCGTCCGTCCTTCTCTACCGCTTTCTCTCCTTTCTTTTCTCTGTCTTTCTCTCTATTTGTTTCTTTCTAATATTCTCACACAATCTCTTTCTTTCTTTCTCTGTTTTTCCTTTCTTTTCGTTGTTTCCTTTTGTCTTTCTTTTCTTTTCTCATTTTTCTTCCTTTTCACTCTTTCCTTTTCTTTGTCTCATTTCTTTTTCTGTATTTTTTCCTTTCTTTTTCTTTTCATTCACTCTCTTTTCTTCTTCCATGATCTTTGTTTTTTCTTTTTCTTTATTGTCTTTCCTATCTTCTTCATATTCCTGGTTTTAAAAAAATCATGTTTTCGTTAAGCATCGTTTAATTTCAGGAATTCTTTTATAGGAGTCAGTCCATTCCCTAAATTGTATCAGGAAGTGTCTTACAATTTGCTTTTAACATTACTAATACTTTTTTGTCGTTATTTTTTGTTGTAAATATGCCGGGTCGCAGCTACACTCTAATGCACTTAAAACTTTATGAACTCCGTTCAATGGCTATCATTAAAATTGTTATATACCCCAGTCACTCTTTACTTTTAAACCAAGTGTCTTTTTTTTTTTCTTTTTTTTTTTAATTTCCTGTTGAACAGTTTTGCCAAGCCCTTCTCTGATTGGTCAGTTCTGTTCGTGTTGTCAAATTTCGTCAATTGTATTTGTATCCGTACTATTTAAAACTCTTCGTTTTCATATACTATACCACTTTAACTAATACATCTGAGACGAAAATAGCTCAAGTTTATTATTCAGCGTAACGAAAAAGGAACACTCGATACACAGGTGATATTTTGTGACCGCTGAATTAGTAACAGTTTTGTTTATAGTCATTTTATTTTATCACTTTCAGATCAGTCATGCGTGACTGACTAAACTATTATAGCCGACGGGGCTCAAATTCCACACAACTGCACACATGCCAACCTAAAACTCTTAAAACCCGGAGATTCAAATCT